TGAACTCCCAGTTACAGAAAATCTGCTCTGAATTGTAAAATAGAAAGTGCAATAAGTCCAGGACATTATTTAATTAGAAAAGCTTTTTATTCCTTTTATGAATAAGATTTTTTCGATGAATAATTAATATTTACAAAAGTTGTTTTTATTTTTAAAAATAAATTAATTATAACAATTTATAAAGTTTTAAATCTTTTAAAATTTCGTATTAATTTGTAGGGGTTAAATAATATCGTTAAGTAAAAACTATATTTACTAATCATAAATGGCAAAGCTTACTACAATTCAGCGACTCCCAGTATTGTAAAAAGAATTTTTTAATGATTTTATAAACATGCCGGTTTTTGTAAATACAGACATGCATACACGACACTATCAGAAAATATGAGCGGCAACTATAGTAAATTTAAAATTTATTGGTAATTTTTTAATATTTTCTCAGCAAGCGTCTTCATAAGTAAGACTAAAGCCAAAAGACCCGAAGTAAAATAAAATATTAGATTACTTTGAATATTTTCCTAAAAGTTAAATATTTCTGGATAGTTATATATGGCGTTCACATTAAATCCATTACGCAATTGTTACAATAATTGTCCCCCGTAGAAAAACTAAGTCTGTCGATAAAGTTGTCAACATCTCATAAAAACCCCAAATTGCTTTTCTGCAATATTTAAAAAATAAAGTAAATAATATTTGTTTCAAATCAGATTAATTAAACTTTAAATCAGCTAATCAAAGTTTCAAAAAGTAGATTTTATTTTTATAGATTTTTTAATAAAGAGAATCACGTCGAGCAAGATTTTGTAAATATGGCTAAAATCAGCCATTTTAACGATTTTTAAAAACTCATTCCAATCAATTTAATTTCGTTTTGGAATACAGCAAAATATTTTGCTTATTCTAAATATTAAATTTAATTTCGTCTATTTGTTTGAAAATAAAACTAAAATAAAGGCTTCAAGAAAGATATTTCATTTTTAGAAATTCATTTTAAACCTTACGCATTGCTTTTCTTTGGAAGTACAAGCAATTGCTTCTGTAGATTAATACAATTGTTTCTCTTCTCTTTTTGCTGATGTCATATAATAACTCCCCTGCTTTTCGTTTTTTTAAAAGATTTCGTGCTGGTTTCTGCGAAATTCGTCTCCAGCAAAAGACAGGCTATACAAGTAAAAATAGGACTCGATGTCCACCTGACGATTCTAATATTGAAAAACTCTGCAAAGGCAAATGTAAGTTATCTCCCTTGGATTTCAAACTCTTTCTTTTTAACTGAAAAGGAAGGTAGTTAGAAGACACGTAACGCTATATCCTAATCGCTAGTACACACGCCTTTTTAATACTTGTTCTCCTAAATCTCCCGCTATCGTGGTCATTTTACGCTGCAAACAATCAGCTCATACTGTCTTCGTATATTTGTTTAACCTAACAGGACCATAAATGAATTATCTCCAATTTGATACGTGTCAAAACAAAAAGAAACATGACTCAAAAGTATTATCATTTTATTTTTATGGTTATTCTTTGTACCAATTCGAAATTAAATGAATGGAAAAAATTCTGATATAAATATTATTTCTTGATTAAAAACAGAAATGGGAAATATTTGCGTTTAAAAAACGTTTACTTTGTCTAAAGTAAACATTGCATCGATTTAAAATATATTCTTTATTATTGTGTTTTACCCAAAATTTTGGCATTATATTATATTGGAGAGTTTTTTTGAAAAGCATCATAGCAGACTTACAGCCTGCCGGAACTGCCATATCAATAAGAAAGTACATTCTGTTTTTGTGGTCTTTGATCTCTATATTTGGGAACTCAGCCTTAATGATGATGATGATGATTATAATAATAATAATATTTTGATTTCTTCTATGGTCACACTATCTACCAAGTCTGCGGGTAGACCTAAGGCAGGTACTTGTGTGCTGTTATGGCTACATTTCATGATTTGTTTTTCTAATTCCCACAACATCACTAGGTTTACAAAGTTCGTTTTAGTGTGGGTTATTATTATTATTATTATTATTATTATTATATTTCATTTGATTTCTGGTGTATACTCATTTCTTTCCGAGTCCCAACCAGAGAACTAAGGTCAGAAATGTCATCATCACTTTTTCCACTGAGCATTTTTGACACACACACACACACACACACACACAACACACACACATAGATAACACCCTTTACACACAGGATGTGGTCTTTACATTGGGGTGTGGTCTGTACTTCTGAGTACAATGTTTTCGTATTTCTTTAAGGCATGGGCTACCAGGAATCCCTTCAATGAGTCTATTGGAATATTTTTCAATTAATCCGAGGGCTCCAACTACAACTGGAGTCGTTGATAGGTTGATACCCCACATTTTTGAGATTTCGATTTCAAGGAACTTGCATTTTCATAGTTATTTTTTTTTTTAAAGATCTACAAAGATACATTTCAGTTTGCAAGGGACTGACATGTCAATAAGAAGGCAAGTTTGCTTTTTGCGGTCTCTGATCACAATGTCTGGGCGATTAGCTTTGATTGTTCTGTCTGTGTGTATAGTAAAGCATTATTATTATTATTTTCTTTTGTATACACATTTCCTTCCGACTCTCAACCAGAGAAATAAGATCAGAAATGATTTTATGACATTTTCCACTGCTCATTGATTATTATTATTATTATTATTTGTGTATGTTATGTTTTCTGCTTTGTATCCGGTAGAGCCGGTTCAAACAATGATTCTTAGACCCTATAAGAGAATTGTCGTTTAGTTGATAGCATTTTTCTTAATATATGGGATGTTCCTAGTAGAGTGATCTTCTGGTCAACTTGTATGTTAATGTTACCTGGGACACTGTTAGTAAAAATGTCCATTCCTTTTCTCACGAGGCCCAGAGCACCGATTACTAATGGTACAGTCGCAGTCTTTATTCCTCACATCCTGTTAATCTCGATCTCCAAGTCCTTGTATTTAGAGAATTTCTCAATAATTTTCATGGATGTATTTCTCTCAGATGGTATTGTAATGACAATAATGATACACTTCCTGAATTTTTTGTCTTTTATTATAATATCAGGTCTATTGGCTTTTATTTCCCTGTTAGTGTGAATTGCCATGTCCAAAAGGATAGTTACATCTTTGTTTTGGGTAACTCAGTCTGTTTGGTGCTCATACCATCTCTCAGTGGTTTCGATTTTGTGCTTCTTGCTTATCTTCCAGTGCACATATGTGACTACTTTGTTATGTCTGTGGTTATATTCATTTTTTGCTACTTCTAAACATCCCGAATCGACTGTTTCATCATATTGTCCGTAGATCCTGCATTTCGGGTTAGTTCCATCTTTGATTTTGTGACACTGATAGGATCTGGTTTGGTCCTGATCTGCAATAATTAGGCCTTCTGTCTCAGCTTTCAACTCGGTGCTCCTCAGCCACTGATGTGTTTTCTGTTGGTTCACATCTGCTTCTTTCGTTCTTTTTAGGTATTTGACATACATCGCCTTGTCCTCCCAATTATTATTATTATTATTGTTATTATTATTATTTCAGCTGCGTATTCTTGTCCAAACATGACCTTTAAGGAAACAAATGGTGTCGCTGTTCGCAATGTCAGCATGTACATTGTGACTGGAGTGCCCACACCAGGCGTCAACTGTTCCTTCAACTCTGCTCGCTTCATTCAGTACATGGGGAATCATCATTACTTCATGGGTAAGCCGAATACCTTTCACTTAAAAACTCACACACAACGCTTGTTTGTCGTAATAAACATCACTTTGGCAGAAGCAAAATATTATTTTTGATCAACTTGAGAGCCAGAAAAAGGCTGTGATTAAAATTGATTATTAAAATCTTTTATGTGGATTACAAATATCAGCGTTCTTAACACATATCCTGAGTTATACTGACATTTCAGAAGCTCTTTTTAACCCTTTTATATTTTATGTGACTTTATGTCTGTCATATCGATATTTCTATGGATGGGCGAAAACATTGTTAACACCTTCGTAATATGTTGGTTCTCAGTTTAGGTGAGAGACACTTCGAAATCGGTTTTCGCAGTCGGCGTTTCGCAGTTAATTTCGCAGTTTTTTTTAATAATTTCACCCTGAGTATGGCAATAAAGCCACTAAGACGCAAAAGGGTTACTGAGTGTTGGAGAATATGAGAAAAAGAAAACATTAAGAAGGGAGAACAATAAAAGGACAGGAATTAAGAAGACAGAAGATAACGATTGACATTGCATTTCAATGTTTATATTTTTTCACTGAATGTGAAAGAATAACAAAAACGAGAAACATTATTTAGGATCAAGAACAATAGAGTCATCAGGAAGATCTAACATGATCTTTCCAGCGGGTAAAAACTGGCTGGTTACATTCAATGCCTCGAAAACCAAACTTGTTATATTCCATTACCGTCAATCAGACCCCGAACTACCGTCAGTCACGATGAACGGATGTCCTCTTGAGGAGGTTCCGTGCCTTGATAGAGTACCCGACTATCAAGTAGAATCTATTATATACCATCCATCGCCAAAGAGGCAGATAAAATGATCGACTCCCTGTACCGCGTCAGTAAGTACCTGAATTTTTTTTCCAACCCCCAATTTCTTTCTCTCAGACGAGATGTGGTGAGCCTCTCACTTCTCTATCGTTACTTCCATGGAAAGTGCTCTGACGAACTGCATTCCTTGGTTCATCCAGTTCTCACCTTCAAGGCCAGGAACTGCCATGCCACTTCCATAGTAGCAAACCACCCACATTCCCCCCGTGTTTCATCGATGAGAAGTAAGTTCCACTCGAACAGTTTTTTTTCCCCGCTAACCACTGCTCTGTGGAACTGACTCCCAAGAGGATGTTTCCACTGATCACTACAATCTGTTCATGCCTAAGGTTAACCGTAATCCTCCCATCGTATCCCCATAAATTTTCTCTTATTCTGTAACGCTCTAACTCGAGTGTCCCACGGACCTTGTACATGGTGCCTCACTGTAAAAAAAAAATATTAATTGGAAAAAAAATAATAAAAAAATATAAGGAATTATTGTTTTAGAAAAGGTTATAATTTTAGTGTAGCTACAATTCCTCCTGATATATAAGTATAACTTGAGCTGTGACTATTGTTGATACAAGGTGATTTTCCACCCTACAACCTCTCTCTCACAGGTGGGATGTGACAAGCGGATGAACTGCGTTCCTTGGTTCCGCCAATTCTCACCTTCACGTCCAGGAACTGCCATGCCACTTACATTGTAGCAAACCACTCACATACCCACGCCCCGTATTCTATCGGTGAGAAGTAAGTTCCACTCAAACAGCTTCTTCTCGTGAACTGCATCTCTGTGGAACAGATTCTCCCGAGGATGTTTCCCCGATCATGACAGCCATAACCTGTTCAAGTCTAGAGTTGTTATCTTGCCCTCTTATTCATATAAACTACCCTTTAACGTATCCCTCTATCTGGAGTGTACTCCTTAGCCTTGTGCAGAGTGAACCTTACTGCAAAGAAAAGATATATTTACTGGCAGAATAGATCGGCAGATATAGTGTTGAAAGTAAAAGGAAAAAAACAATGGAAAGTTAGTGAATAGCTATAAAGTCTTTATTATCAATCTTTAACTTGTTCGCCTTTTTCCTTTTTTTCTTCTGTTTCTGTCTTGTTCAACTTGTTATTTTACGACCATTAAATTAACCGCAGATTTGAATAACGTTGTAAAATCGAATTTAAAGTGTTGGTGTAAAACTGAACATACGTCTGGGTTTCTCGGGCATTTTTTTTCTACAATTGGTCACCTTCTGCTCCACATCGTAGTAGTTCGATTCCCGTTTGCGTCGTCTGTGGGAATAAAAGTGGCAAAGATCTGGGTGTATATTCAACAAAGAAACTGAAGGTGAGATATCGCACGGGGCTAAAAGTGTCGAACGCGACCGTCCGGAGTTATCGGTTTGGGGAGAAAGGCAAGAACTCTGTTGGTTCAAATAAACATGGTTGCTTATTCATGGATTAACCTGGGGGTAGGTAAGTGACACTTGGGACCACTTCGCTATTATTTCTGTCTTCTCTCCCGACAGACTAACGGACCTGATCTTCCCTTTGCCAAGCGAGAATTCCGTTTCCATCCCACTCCATATCTCTTCTTACTCTAACCGTAACTATCCATCTCTAAGCATGAATCTCGCCGACTGTCCATTATCTAGAATGCGGCCTGACTATACAAGCCTGTGGTCGGGAATTCCCTACCTTTCGACCAAATGACACTTGATCCCGAAGGTTTTTTATTCTATTTCGAGATTTTTTCCCCTTTTTTCCTAATTTTGGTCAGTGGGTGGTTGCTTTGAAACTCTCAAGTTTCGTTTTTATTGACGATGCCGTGGATTGTTATAAAAGAAGTCGGTCATATCAGGACCAGATAAAATCTTTTACTGCACACTTGACTACGTGTGGGTCCTAGCCAATCGCGAGAAGACATATTGTGTAAAAATGTAAGTGTGGCAAATGTTAAAAAAAATCTCATTGAATGGAATTGTGGAAATGTTAATCATCACACCATAGGAGACGCCAGTTTGAGATTGACTAAGATGAACTTCATCAGGTGCAATGTCACATATGTGAGATACTTGGCGGGGATGGAACTCACTAAAATAATAACTAATGTGGTTGGCGTGCTAATGCTGAGGATTTCCCCGTTAGATATCATACGATATTAGACAGGAGGATTTCTTACGATTTTTCGTATAATGTAAGAATTTTCTTGCCTTTTTGTTTTTAGGAAGAAACACCCAATCCAAGAAAATGTTGCGAACCATTCCAGTCATGACGAAAGCCATCCGAGTTTCCTCCCATACGGATCCGTGCCAAAAAAAATACCAAATGCAATTTTACGTCAATACGGCTCACCTGAACGAAAGTAACTTGCCCTGTCCAACTCAGGTAAGAAAGTGTCAAAGTTATTACTAGGGGTGTTAAAAAGAAGAAATTTAAAAAGAAATTGTGATTTGGGTCATTTAGTTAAATGTTGGGAAGGTGAACGTGGATTAACTGGCTGAGATGAAATATTAAGTTCATCATTTTCATGAACAGTAGTTTGTTACCAGTCGTACCACTAACAACAAGATAAGCAAATTTCAAATTTAAATTTTTTTTGTTCATTTAAAATAATACATTTATTATAAAATATATCTTGCTTAAATACGGAAGGAATCATAAAAGTGACTTCGAAAATCATTTCCGGTTACCCAGTTGCCACACAGAAAAGGAAATTTGCTCTCACAAGACATCCATGTAAATTTGATTCAACGTGTGTGTGTGTGTCTTTGTGTGTGTGTATGAGCGTTTGCGTGTGCGTTTCCGTGTGCATATTTTAATTCATCAGTAAACCTAAAAAAATATTTATCCAAAACTTAAAAATAAAAAAAAACACATTGTATTTATAAGTTCAATAAAATCTGTTTATTTTAAGATTGAAAAAAAAATCAACGTTTTTTTTCTTCTTTCCGATTTAATGATTTTATTGTTCAGCCCAAGGTAGGAGTTGTTCAGAATTGGTTAACAGGAATATATTATTCCAATATATTTAAAACTCAAATTATGGGTGTACGTGGGGTGCGTGTGCTTGAGTGCCCAGGAAATACACAAGCACATATGAGTCACTGCCGCACAAACCAGACATGCACATTCTTTTTAATCATTTCGCCCCATGTAAAGTAATAAAGCCTCTAAGACGCAAAGAGGTACTAAGTGTTAGAGAATATGAGAAAATAACTATTAAGGAGAGAGAACAATAAAAGAACAAGAATTAATAAGCCAATTAATAACGATTGACTTTAAAATTGCATTTAAATTTTAGAAAACCAAAGTTGACGAGGAAGCAAGAGGCCAAAAGAATGTTGCACAATCAAAAAGCGCGATAGAAAAATTTTCAATTCTCGATGGCGGATGTGTACTGCTGATGAGTCCCAAATATAGAACGAAACGGACGTCCAGTGCTTTCTGCATTCTGTTGAGGTTTCTTCTAGACTCAATGAATTATTTAATTATCACATCCTCCTAATAATTTTTATCACTTGTATAACCTTGCTAGGACCGGCTTCTAATGCTCCAGTTGAAGCGGCTCGCGGATATTAGTCGTAGTTCGTGGGGGGAACAGTCCTATAGGTAAGAGAAACTCGGATGAGTTCCACCACGGAATATGGGATCGGGCAGCGCTATATCGAGTCTAATTCGTTAGCTCTTCGGCTTCTGTTGTGCACTGATGTGTCCCAAATATAGGACGAAACGGCTGTCCAGTACTTTCTGCATTTGTTGAGGTTTCTTCTAGACTCGATGAATTACTTAATTATAATTATCTCAAATCCTCTTAATAATTTTTATCACATACACACACACAAAAACACAATATATATATATATATATATATATATATATATATATATATATATATATATAAAGTGAAGGCGACAGTCTGTTTCATGCTAGATGCAATGGCCTGACGATTGCATCTAGCATGAAACAGACTGTCGCCTCTAAGTGTTGACTTCTATGTTCACTTTTATATTTACACACGCTCTAACCACTTTATCCCATAAATATAGCACATTTTAAGACCATATTTCTTCATATATATATATATATATATATATATATATATATATATATATATATATATATATATATATATATATATATATATATATATCATTTCACCTCAAGCAAAATAACAAAGCCATTAAGATATAAGGGGTTATTTGAGTGTTACAGAATATGAGGAAACATTATGAAGGAGGGAGAACAATAAAAGAGCACTAATTGCGAAAACAAAAGATAGGGACTGACAGTGCATTTAAATTTCTCAAGATCAATGTTGACTGAGAAACAAGAAAAGGGAAGAGAGGTACACAAGTAAGAAGTGCGATAGAAGAAACTGTTAACATAGAACTTACGGTTACATCTAGCCATTTCAATTGTAAATTGATGAGACCTTGTTGCCAATCTAATATTGCACTTAAAATTCATATACTGGAATTGGAACTTGGCTCTCCGATTAATAATTAAAATGCCATTATCTATTACACGACAAACGCATCTAAGCTTACATCACCTGGCACTCCCAAGCGGTCATCCATCAAGGTACTGGCCTGGCTCGACGTTGCTTAACTTCGTTGATCGTACGGGAACCGGTGTTTTAATGTTTTGATGTGGACGTGCAAATTACGAGAAATTTTCCGGCTAGCAGAACTTCTCCAAAAACACACAGAGTAGCTAACTGTAGATATAATATTCAATAAACCAAGGGAAGATTAAACACACACACACACACACACACACACACACACACATGTATGTATGTACTGAATTTATTTACATGTGTTTCTTTGTTCATTTTTGATTCCCATTCACATTTTCCTGATATCTACAAAAGCCAAATAAGTACCTTCAATATTTTTTCTTGTTCATTTTGACTGGTTCGATTTCCAGCATTCCTAACTAAAGTATAAATAAGCAGAACATCTGGTTCGAACCACGCTCATAATTTCCATTAATATTTTCCACGCGTCTATTTTTCCCCACTTTCTTCTAAATTCTACTAATTTGTTGCACATTCCACTACCTTCCTTTCTTGTCATATCTTCTTCCTTTCCATATGTTAATCACCAATGAACGCCATGTTTTCTTTTGTATTTTAGCCCGGAGTCCTGCTACAAAAGGTCGAAAACATGCAGATTTACGTGAAGACGTTTAATGGCAACCCAAATACCGACATGTCGCAGGCCAAAGACATGTTTACAAGTGAGCTAGATCGGAAAAATTTGAATTACATTAATGGTCGTCACTACATTGCCCAATATCGTGGGCACGGTCCTGTATACGGGCGCACTATGGAGATCTGGGTTGAGAAAACTGAACCACAATATGTGACTGTTTGTCAAGGTAGCGCAGGAGCCCCAGAAACAACAACTCCAACTTATGTAGAGACTACCACAACTACAGCACCGAAGACATCAACGGATTCTCTTATGATATCTTATTATTAAACATTTTCTGAGTAATACAGAGAGCGATTTTTTTTTCATGTACGTTTTAATAAAAAAAAAAATATTGAAATAATAGTTCTTTGACAAACTGTGGTCTCATATGTCGGATGAGCTTTGAGAATCTTTTGAAAGTCTTTCTTTGACTAGGAAGGAAGAAAAGACAAAAAGCAGTGAGAGATAGAGATAGATTTGCATCATTACAATATCAATAAGAATGAGAGAGGAAGAGATAGGGAAAGAAAGAAAGATTTAGAGAAAGACCTGAACGTGCGATAGGACGATGGGGATGGAAATAATAATGTGTTAAAATAAAACGACTAATATAATAACATGAATAGCATCAGGAAGGAAGTTGATCAATGAATATAGGAAAAAATGAGATGAAGATGATCATCATAATAGACAAAATAACAAAAGAAAAGGGAAATAATAAAAGTAATAAAACTACTACTACTACTACTAATAATAATAATATGTGTATGTTTATTGGCATAGCAGTAACGTCTAAGAGAGACACCTCCATGAAGATTGTAGAGAAAAATACAAATACAATAAAATTGTTCTCACGAGTACCTTACGAAGTCCACACCTTACGAAGATGTTTATCGAAATATATATATATATATATATATATATATATATATATATATCATATATATATATATATTTGGTCAGTGGGAAATGTCATGAATGATTCCATTTCTAACCTCAGGTCTCTGGGCGAGACTCGGAAAGAAATGTGTACGCACCAGAAACCAAAGGAAATAATAATAATAATAATAAGCTGCCGCCAATTAATTGATATTGACTTGGCCACAAGATTCCAATGCTTCTAAAAAGAAAAAAAAATTCAAAATCTGTCAAATTATAAGGACCTGCAAATCGAAGTAATAAAAATGTAGAAACAACAAAACTACGATTGTGATAGGGGCGTTGATAAAGAATGGTGACGGAAATCATGTGAGTAAAATTCTTGAACCTGCCTGCATTTCAGAGCTTCAAAAGATTACTTTGTATGGAACTGCACATATCATCCGAAAAACCCTCTCCATCTAAACGAAACGTCCTAAATATTCATATACATAGATAACTTTCCGACATTGCCCTTTTTCATTCATAGACACCGGAAGGGACATGACAATTAGGCACTTAAAAATACTCTCTATAATAATAATAATAATTGCTCCACAAACTAAGTAAATAGAGAGATCTAGAAGTTAAAATTCAGAAGATTTCGCATCTCAAAACTAAGATAATCCCAATTTTTATTGGTGCAATCTATGACACCAATCACACATCCAAGCTTACAACACCAGATATTCATAAGCAGTCACTCATCTAAATCCGATTTCGTATTTAACCTTTTCTTTGCAAAGACTCAAAGTGACGTCACTTTCTTGGCATGCTGCTACTGCTGCTGTTCTCTTTCTCTCAATCACTAATAATAACGATGTTGTTGATGACAATGATTATGATATTAAAATTAATGTTGATCGACTAATGTAAAATATTAGAATCAATGGCATCGTTCTTGTAAGAAAGTGAAACAAAAACCAACAATTTCAAAAGGCCGAAGAATAATTTCTAGTCAGTTTAAGGAACGGATTGGTTGGTTCTGCTAACTAATTTTCTCCAGGCTCCAAGTATAGATAATCTTTTCATTCAGAGTAATAATGTAAAATTTGAATTGCCACCTTGGTAAACTGCATTTTTCGAAGGATATAATAATTCCCCTCACATGTTAATAAAACATTCTGCTAAATATTCTATAAAAAAAAAAAAAAAATTAAAGTGAGTTCCGTAATATGAGATCACACAAAAAACTACATTTTTTCTTAGGATATACAGATAAAACAGAAAATATATGTACACGGATATTGTTAAATGCGAATTAATAAAAATATTCTTTTTATATAACATTTTTGTTTTTATATTTGTTTTTGGCTAAACTGAAGCAGTATTGTTGAGTTGAGCCAATATTGAAAACTATTTGAGACTCTCAAAGATATCGCCATAAGCCGTGAAACTGTTGAATCGCAATATATATTACACTCATCCATTATAGATGGTAATTTTTCATTTTTATTTCGTTTACTTTTTTTTTTTCGTCGTTCTTATCTCCTGTAGCTGAATAGTTTGGTGAGCGAGAGACAGACATAGCTATAGATGTTGCATGTACCGGTTTATCCCAATGAAGCTGAAGAAGTGCTTATGCTCCCTCGCTGTTTGTTTATCTTGGTTTCTGTCAACAGTTCACTGCGAATTGATTGTTGCCATTGAAGGCGGTCTGGAGTGGTGTTTTCTCAGGTGTCCCGATTGGTAATAAGTAAACGATATGGGATCTTGTTAAATTTCCTTAATAAAAGTTGCTCAGGCCTAGTTTTTCTCTTTCCGTTTGAAGGTTCCTAGGAATGTTTTTGAATTCTTTTTTTTCCGTCCGAAGGGTTCAGTGGGTACATCGCAATCTTAGAAAATGTGATCTTTGAAGGCTTTTACCATATTTTTTTATATTGTTTCTCTTCCATATATAGCGTTCGGACAATTTTAGACATAATTTCATTCTACTTATTCAATAATATGTTGTGTTTCTGTCAACAGTTCACTGTGAATTGATTGTTGCCATTGAAGGCGGTCTGGAGTGGTGTTTTTGAAAAGGTGATGATTGGTAACCATAAACGATATGGGATCTTTATAAATTGTTTAATAAAATTGCTCAGGCCTAGTTTTTCTCTTTCCGTTTGAAGGTTCTGCATAGGGAATGTCCTTTGGAATTCTTTTGTCGTTGCTCGGACAGGGTCCTTCCATTACATCGCACTTATTCAAGATGTGATCTTTGAAGGATTTAACCATATTTTTAAATTGTTAATTAGCTAAATCAAAAACGTTATATAAAATAAGACATTATTTCATTCTACTTATTCAATAATATGTTGTGTATAAAAGCATCTATAACAATAATTCTAAAGCAGGTATATATAAAATAAATAGTCATAACAATTTCCTACAATATACTGAGGGAACTTGCAGAATTTTATGTACACAAAAAGACCTTATATCAATTTATCAAATGCATTAGACATTCATAGAAATATGTTCAACCAAAAATGTCATACTTATTTAAAGAGAAAGTAACTTACTTCGACGGAAAATTCTTGAGCGACGCTATTGAAACTTACCAAAATATGAATCTGCGCTCAGGAATTTTTCAAATATTTCCTTTCCTAAAAGATATACTCCATTTCCAAGCCAACATCATAAAAATAAAATAATAATAAAAATGTTAAAAAATTAAAAGAAAACAATTAAATTCAAAACCTATTATTTAAAATATATAAATATAAATTTCCGAAGCTAAAATAATCCAAATTCAATTAGGTTATATATAAACAAAATTCAACAACAGCAATAACTTTCGTTTATTTAGATATTAGATTATATCACTTAGCATCTTCCATACTTCACCTTGACTTTCAGCTAGCCTGAAGTATATCCATAAGCGTTTTCAAATTTTAAAATTGTGAAAAACTAACGACATTTGTTCTTGTTTATAAATACTTGTTGCGAAATAAAATCGTTCGGCTATAAGTTTTCCTTTTGTCTTTATTCAATACTAACGGGCTTCGCCTGCTCGCTATCGCTTCACAAATTAAAATATATTCACTACTTTTCACTAATTTTAAATAAACATGTCTTTCATAAATTGGCTTGTTATAGTTAAGAAAAGTTTTACAAATAGATGCCAACTTGTTAAAGGCTAAGTAAAATGCAAGTTCCAAACACTTTTCTGCATTATATAAGATGATATTCCTAAACAAATCGATTTTTGATATGAAAATCAAATAATCCTCGAATAAAAAGAACAATAACGAAGGACAGTTAATTAATGAAATAACTTTTTTTTTTTTAAAAAATCAATATGCAAATTTGTTAAACCTGAAGAGTGATATTGCCTAGAAGTAGATAATATATAATACAGATATTGAGCTTTTTGTGTGTAAGTTACTGTAATGTAGAGATTGGGCTTTTTAATCTCAGAATTCGTTGGAGAATTGAGTTCCAATTCCGCTTTTGTTCATATAGATTCCATAATGTAGGTTTTACTTAATTAGCTATTTTATTTCTCTAACTCTTCAGTTGTTGAATGCATAACTAATTCTAATTTCTATTTTCCCGTCTTTACACTATATTTTACTATATTAATTTTATCTTATAAATTGTCGCCTGTTCTGTCACCCATGAAATAAAAATAATTGTTAGTATGGAAAATAAGGATCTACGTACATCAAATCGTCTTAAGTGGAAACAGAAGAATTATCGTTGAACTTTTAAAAGGTAAGCTAAAATATTAATTCAGTACTTAAATGCAGCGATCAATTTTGAGTTTTTCTGTAGTTTATTGGTGCCTATCGCATCTACTCCTCCCTAGCTTTTGTGATGGTGGCCAAACCTAGAGTCCTCCACAGGAGCTAGCTTCGATGCCGCCCGATAGGGCTGCTTTTTTGGATACAAAAAGAAAATAAGAGTTACTTCCCTTGAACCATGAAAGCAACGATAATGGCTAGTATAATAATATATTAATATATATTTTAACCTTGCATAATCTGGCAACCCTGAATTTGAGCTCAACGAAAATCGTTCCCTGCGCCTAACTTGTCTAGGGCTTTTGAATGAGATATGAATCATTGAAATCAGACCAGTGGAAGCGTTGGAGTTGCTTGGACACACACACACACACACACACACACTGTACTTTATATATAAGATTTTGTGTGCTTGAATCTAGCAATCACTAAATTATACGGGCAAAATCTGTAATATTTAGATTGTTTTAAATTTAATTTTTGAAGATTGTAGGTGGCAGCAAAGCAAGAAACCAAAAGTTCCACAGGTGAGAAGTTTGAGAAAATAAATTGTATCTAGCTAGTTCAACAGTAAAACAGTGGAGTATTGCTGCCATATATAGTCTGGAGCCCCTTCTGTTTCCCTCGGGGTTCTTGATAAGCTCCAGAGGCGGATATGCAATATAATTGGCCCTGTTCTGGCATCTCGTCTACAGTCGCTCTCTCACAGACGCGCCGTCGCCTCTCTCTGCTAATTGCTCCGAGGAGCTGCTTTCGCTGGTTCCCAGACTTCATGAATTCAAGCGCCCTACGAGGCTGGCATCCCGCTCTCACCGTTTCACTGTCGAAACTATTAAATGTAGCCGTCTCTTCTACTCCAATAGCTTCATATCTTGCACCTCTCTCCTGTGGAACCCCCTTCCCTATTTCTGTTTCCCTGAGAGCTATAATCTCCAACTATTCAAATGTAATGTCAATCGACATCTCCAGTTGCCTTGATCTATCCACTATCCTTCTCCTCATCCTTTCTTCTATCACTCCTATCTGATCTTGCTCCAAATTTTCTGTAACCCCTTGCGTCCTAGTGGCTTCTCGCTTTGCTTGGGGTGAAACGCTTAAAAAAAACTTAGTTGTCAGTAACAATTCGGACTAAACTGACAATGTTTGTCTATCATATTATATTTATCTTTATTAATTTGACTGGTCCATACGCAAAACAATGACATTTTGTTGGAAAAAAATCCTTTGTAGGTTATTATTCATTAATCTTTCCGTACAGCATTTGTCAAAATCGAAAAATATTGTTTTTTTTTTAAGCATAGGATTTTTATCAGTAAGTCATTATTTCCCCCATCTCCAAAAGCAAATAAATAGAAATTCTTACAATGTAAAATTATTTTCTGGCTTTAAATAATCTGCAATGGGTTGATAAGCCGTAAAAAATGAATGAATATCAATGTTTTTAGGAAGATTTAATGCATATTAATCTACAAAAGTTATCCTCCCCTTCAAAGTTTTCCTATTTTATACGAACAGACCAGTGAAGTTATGTATTGCCCCACTTTTCTTTAAAAAGCGGGACACCACTGGGCGTAAATGCCTTGTTCTAATCTTTTATCTAAAATAAAAAATACTATATCCCTTATATAAAAAATATCTATCCCATGTCACAAACCTGTATTTTCCTACAAAAATGAAATTGTCATATTCTCGTACAAAAGGAAGCTATAGTGACATCGGAATTTGAATTGTAAAATTCCTAATTTTTTTTTGTCCAATCAAAAACCATCAAGAAAGGACGCTATTTTTTTTTCTAACATTTGCAGTCTATATTGTCTAGAAAATATCGTTGGATCCAATCTGTGAAAAGACTTAGTGTTTTCTTTCTGGAACTGTTGAATTAAAAAAAATAACAAAAGTTATTTTTAACCTATGAAAAGTTAGAAGTAATTCTTAATTTTTCGATCCAGTTTTTCTATAAATTTTGATAACTCATCTTCGGTATAACCCAATATTCAATAAAAAATCTATATTTCAAAACGTTACCTAATACTCTCTTTTTCGATAATTTATTCAACTCTCAGTAGTATATATAGACATCTTATATTTTATTTCTTTTCAATTCATTGTTAGTTTTGTTTGAAATAACTACACAATTTGGCAAATTTATCACTTGTATTAAAGTTGTTACTGCTATTACTACCGCTGCTGATACATACACGTAATCATATTAAACATAATCGTATTAAAATATTATATAGATAAAAGAAGGGAACTTTATCAACACTCACAGATATAGATAAAAATAAATTGACTTTCCGATCGTCGAATAAATTGGCATGTTCACGTCCTATCTTAATATATGTTACTATACTACTTTGTTTGAAAACATTTAAAATTATAAATAAATTTGTTAAATTTGTAGAACTGTTTCATCTTCTATTTATTAACAATTTTATTCTTCTGTCTGGTTAACTTCTAACTTTCATAAAGCGATACTAGGGGACGCTGTCCAGCACTATAAATACTCTGCAATAATTTTTCGTAGCCTTTTCTTACCTTATCCGCTTACTCATCGACATGTAAGTCTCTTGCGGAGAACGCGCTTCCCTTTGGGAAACACAAGAACTAACCACACATACACAACACACGTACGTACGCACATTCACTCATTTCACATACTTAGAACCCAAAGGTTTTCACATTCTTGTGTTACACACATTATTATCTTTGTCACTTGTATATCTTTGTTGTTAATACATATTCATTTGTTTGTACATATCTATTGGTTTGTGTCGTTTCTTTTCATTTCTAAACTCATCTTGAGTCCGCCATTTTTATTATGGGTATTTCAGGAGACAGCGTATTATTCCCAATTTCAAACACCAACGTTACTAACGCCCGCAACACTTTGGTTTCCATCAGCATATATATATATATATATATATATATATATATATATATATATATATATATATATATATATAGTATATGTTTTTAAGAGATAGAATTCTCGCTTTAGAATAAAATCTAATTTTGGATGATTTGTTTGCATAATAAATGTTTGTAAAAGACGAAAAATTTAAAATCATGATTCCTATGTTACACATTAATTATTATATTACTTAAAGGTTATTTCTAGTAGATAGCCATATTTGAGTTGACACCCCGTTTATTTATTAAACAGGGTAGTTATTTTCGTCTACCTGCCTGAATTTTTAGAAATATGAGTATCCACTAAAAATAATATTTAAGTAATAAAATATGTCGGAATAAAAAATAAAAACTCCTCACTCTTTTTAGAAATTAATTATATATAAAACGAAATATTTCCTACAAAATGAAACGGTGAAAAATTTCGCTGGAAAAATAACAAGGGAGATAAGCATGTCTCAAGGGAGATAACCAGGGAAACAAAAATAAAATCAGAAAAAATAACTTAAAATAATGGAGATAAAAAAACGCTTAACAAAAGTGATCCTATATCCTTCTGGCATCAGTTAAAACTGACTCCTAATATTTTTCCATATATATATATAAACTATAATTATAAAGTATAAATATAGAATATCATGAAGAACTTGAAGCAAAACGGTCACAATATACGGATTATAGCAGGTGTCGGTTTAAAGTTTACACTGGCGCTAGGAGTATATAAGTTAAATAACAAACAGACAAAAAATGTTGGGTGAAAAAAAAATGATTTTGTAATTGGTTAAGAGAATAACTTTATGAATATCGACGCGGAAAGTGGTATTGGCCATCTAAAGTTAAAATTCCAGCCTAGTCAGTTACGGTGACTACTAGCTAATGTATGAGGAAGTTTACCGAAGCTACAAAAATTAACAGAGTTTGAACTGAAATATGTAAATATTGCTAAAATTAATGTAATAATTTTATAAAATTTGCTATTATTATTCAATTAATTTATATATATATATATATATATATATATATATATATATATATTATTATTATTATTATTATTATTCTTTGAAGTTATATATGTGTTGTTTATTATTATTTCTTTTAACTTTTTCCGCTGTTACCGTTTTTTTTTGTATTAGTATTTATTTGTTTTTGTGCAACAAACCTGAAGGTCATTTGTTTTATTTTCTGTTTTTGCTTGCCTAAAGTTATATTTATCAACTTTGTATTTTCTACTTGTTGTGAATAATCAAGAGTGGTCTCCCTTTGTTTTTTTTACTCTTCTCTTTGAGAGAGTTTATTTCTGTTTACTGTGACTATAAAAGAACACTATACGCGAACCTTGTATTCTCAGTATATGTCTATATTTCTGAGATGAGGTATTATGTACACTATTTACATTATTCGGACTATTGTCCTCATCTTTGTTGCCATATTTATCACAAAGTTTCGGCCGTTTTATTCTCTGGCCTTCTTCAGGTGGTTGGAATGTCGAACTGAACCCTTTATTTCGCTCACTGGGGTAGACTGTTCTAGTTCCACGTGTCATGTTTTGATGGATGTCAGTTATCAGTTATCTCCTGTTAATTCCCCTCTGCATGTTTTGTGCCACATGGCACAGTGGATAAATGCGTTGGTTAGATCCAGTGGCAGGAAAGAGTTGTGAGTTCAATACCTGGTTAAGGCAGTGGAGAACCCCCCCCCAAAAAAAAAACAAAAACAAAAAAAAAAAAAAAAAAAAAAAAACAAAAACAACACCCCCAAACAAACAAACAAACAACATCCTTCGAAAACACCAGACAACAAATAAAAGAGACGAAGAGAGCCCAAAGAAAAGTCAGAGTTCTCCATCTCCGCCTCTTCAGATCCAACATAGGACCCATTTCACACAGAAGGAAATGTCGATGAGTACCCCAATATTCGGTAACGAGTGCCGTCAACAACGATGACAAATGCATGAAGAAAACCATAGATTTGTCTCTTCTTGCTATAGGCGTTAAATAGCACATTAGACTTGGGCTCTCTAGGCAGCATGGGAGAAAGAGAACTTTGAATACAAAGCCGAGGAGAGAAAAAACAGGAAATCCCTCCCCTGTTATCCACAAGAAGTCCTGGACATTTCCAGATATTAAAGGAAAGGGAATCTGTAGAAAGAATCGCCCAGATTTTGTAGCGACAAGACATAGAATATTGGCTCAGGGGGAGATAACTCAATTCGCAAGTGTAAGCTGGTAGATGATACAAGGGAGATAATTAAATTCACAAAAGGAATGAAAAAAGTATGACAGAATATACCTTAGAAGGAAAATAAACAGATGAAATATATATAAGTGGATGGTTGGAATGATAATTAGTTGAAGAATTCTTTTGATAAATGTTTCTGGAATGCATTGAATGAAATCGAGAAAATCATTGATAAATTGACACAAAAGATATTTTTTTTACAATGATGTTCACTCTGTACAAATCCCAAGAGCCACTCGACGTAGAATGGATGATGGGAGTATGTGGGGAAGATAACGGTTAACCAAGATCTTAACGGGTTAAGATTTTGGTGATCGGGCAAGAAATATCTTGGGAGTCGGTTATGCCTTTCAGTTTCGATTTATTCATAGCTGTCCATTCTTCCAGAAATAACTGTCGATGTACAGATTCACAGGCGAAAATATATATGGATGCTAAAATGATGCGACGGGCAGAGATATATAGATATAAACAAGCTGGGATAGATATAGTGGTAAAGAAATACACACTCATAGACGGATGGCTATTCTTACATTAACACACTAAGAAGATAGACAGATATGAAAAAACAATGATAGATAGATAGATAGATAGATAGATAGATAGATAGATAGATAGAAAAAAAGATAGATAGATATGAAAGATAGATATGAAAAGATATGGAAACAGTGGTAGATAGATAGATAGATAGATAGATAGATAGATAGATAGATAGATAGATAGATAGATAGATAGATAGATAGATAGATAGAAAGACAGATAGATAGATAGATATGAAAAAAGACAGCTAGATAGATAGATATGAAAAGATAGATAGAGATAGATAGATAGATATAAAAGACAGATGATAGCTAGATAGATTATATAGATATGAAAAAAAAGATAGATAGATAGATAGATAGATATAGCTAGATTGCTAGAAGAAAAGACAGTGATAGATAGATAGATATAAAAAGACACACATGAAAAAGACAATGATCATTTTAGCTAGATAGATAGATATGAAAAGACAGTGATAGAACAATAGATATGAATGAAAATAGATATGACACAATGATAGCTAGCTAGCTAGATTGCTAGATATGAAAAGACAGTGATAGATAGATAGATATGAAAAAAGTGACACATGAAAAAGATTGCTAGATATGAAAAGACAGTGATAGATAGATAGATATGAAAAGACAGTGACACACATGAAAAGACAATGATAGCTAGCTAGCTAGATTGCTAGATATGAAAAGACAGTGATAGATATGAAAAGACAGTGACACACATGAAAAGACAATGATAGATAGATAGATATGAAAAAGACAGTGACACACATAAAAGACAATGATAGCTAGCTAGCTAGATAGATATGAAAACAGTGATAGATAGATAGATATGAAAGACAGTAGACATGAAAAAGACAATGATAGCTAGATAGATGCTAGAATGATAGAGATGATAGATAGATAGATATGAAAAAGATAGATAGATAGATAGATATAGATATGAAAAGACAATGATATATAGATATGAAAAGACAGTGACACACATGAAAAGACAATGATAGCTAGCTAGAGAAGATATGAAAAGACAGTGATAATATGAAAGAGATAGAAAATGACAAGATACAATGATAAATGATAAAAGAAAAGATGATAGATAGATATATGAAAAGAAAAGACAAGATAGAAAAGTATAAAAAAATGATGATAAAATAGATTATAGATACATGAAAAAGAAGATGATAGATAAATACTGATAAAGACAAAAACTAGCTAGACAGAAAACAGTGATAGATAGAAAAAAAAAAATTATGAAAAGACAATGAAAAAGCTATTAGATAAGAAAGACAGTGATAGATATAAAGATATAAATAGATAGATTGAAAAGACAAGCGATACACACGAAATAGCTAGGTAGCTAGCTAGATGATAGATATGAAAAGATAGTGAAATATGTAAAGAAATATATAGATATGAAAAAAACATTGATAGATAGTTAGATATGAAAATACTGACACAGAAAGCAAAAAAAAAAAAAAAACTTGAGATAAAAAGAAATTTAAGAACTATATAGATATTCTTTCCCTAATAGACTGAGAATAAAAGAGAAATATAAGAACATATAGATATAAATAATAAATAGAGATATATAGGAAAAGAACTTTATTAGATATTTAATAGATGAATTTCAACTTTTCGCCGATTTAACAAAATTTTCTTAAATGCGGCCATTTTCTTAATTTTAAGAAATTTGTAAACAAAACAAAATATTCGATTTTAAAAATCTTCAAAAATTAAATAATATATTTGTGACACATTATTTGAGTAAAATCAGGAAATTTAAAGTTAAATTAATCTGATTGGAAGGAAATATTACTTACTTATAGCATAAAAAAATATAGTATGCAGGCGTTTCTTAACAATGGGTCCTCTTTTGATCATGCCTTTATTGACGTTAACGACGTAACCGACAAGATATGAGGTGATGACAGCTAGTATGGATGACCAGAATTGACATAAATTTACGAAATCTAAATGAACGCATTTTTTAAAATTTTTAACTATCTAGTAATTTTTACAAATTGACATAATATTTTCAGCCATCATCTAAGATTTTATTGATCTACGAAAAAATAATAACATTTAAAATAATATATAATTTTCTTAGATTAATTTAAAAATTTAATAACTGACATAAAATACTATGAGAGAGGTAAAAATCAATAATTGATGGAATGTTCTGGTATTTTACTTGTTAACATGATGGTTATTTTATTATTAAATTTTTAGAGTACTTTAAATTTAATTATTAATTACATAATTGTTTAAACTTTTATTATTTTAGCCCAAAACACTTAGCAATATTTATTTTGTTTAAGGATTATGTCATGTATAGGTTCTCATAGATAGAAACTGGGAATGTTTAAACACTAAATTTTTTTTTAATTATTTTAAAAATATTGAATTACAAATAACTGTTATGAACTTTTCAATTTTTGATTCGTAAATGGACGTCTCACTTAACAATATCAACAAACCGCCGGCTTCAAGCAATGCCGAATTTTAGACGATTTTTTAATGTTATAAATTATTTAAAAAAAGAAAAAAAAATTCTTGTAAAAATTAATTATTCATCGAAGAAGATTTTCATCTTAAGACAATAAGGTCCTTAATAAATTTTATTTATCAAAGCAATTAAAAGCTTTTCTAATTAAATAATTTCATAGTTTTATTGCATTTAATATTTTACAATTCATAGCAGATTTTTGGTGAATTTATTTATTTATATTTTAAATAAATTTTTTTTATTTATATTTATTTATTTAAATTTATTATTTTTTTAAATATAATTATTTTATTTATTTATTAAATTTATTTATTATTTATTAAATTTATTATTAATTTAAATTTATAGATTTATATTTTAAATAAATTTATTTATCTATTTATATTTATTTATTTATTTTATTATTTATTATATTTTTATATGTGCATCTAGAGTTATAGGAATGTTTTATTTTACAAATACCGTCAGCCCATTGAGGCTATTATATTTTTATTGTCAACGTGTATGTGGTGGATGAAGTTTGGTCTGAGATCTAATTGAGCTATTATATATATATATATATAATTTAAATAAAAACAGGCCACTTTAAGGTTCCATGTAATAAATTATTTCACCACGGCAATTTTTTTTTAAAGGACTGCAGACTTTTACTTCAAAAAAAAGGTTGAAACAAAAAAATGAAAAGAAATTTACAAATTTACATTATTTGCTCTGGATTGAGCTCTCTGGATTTTATCCACCTTTAGTTTACCCATACGGATTACCTAGTTTTTCATAAACTATCTATCTATCTATATATATCTATCTATCTATAAAGATACATAGATAGTGATTGATAGAATATATAGATAGATATATAAATTTATATATATATTATCTATATATATATATATATATATATATATATATCTATATATATATATATATATATATATATATAAAGATAATAGATATGATTATCTGAAATCTGGGATATATCTATCTATCTATCATTATCTATCTATCTAAAATTATAATAGGTTAGCTTTTTTAGATAGATAGGTAGATTTATTTTAGATTTTGCGGAGAGCTCTTGATTGGGCCTTCATCAAAACAAGGTAGCGTTTAGATGCAATAGGCAACGATAAACTAAAATAGAACTCAGAATTGATCGCTGCATTTAAGTATTAATATTTAAGCATACCTTTTAAAAGTTCAACGATAATTCTTCTACAGCCACTTAATATAAAGGCATTCGTGATTAATTCTGATTATTCCCATATTTATTTCAAAGTTATAAAAATTGTTATCTTGCAAAAAAAAAAAAAAAAAAAAAAACAACGAAAACAATCGGCATAACGAAAACTTGAGAATCCAAAATTTCAGGATTGCGGACCCGGATCCTAATCAGAATGGTTTTAATTTGTACACGGAGTTGGCCTGATTCCAAAATGGTATGATATGTTGGGCTATTAAATTCTAGGAGTAAAGTTGAAAAAGTGTGACACACTGACATTAGCATTTATTATATACCAAATGTCCTTTGACAAAAAAAATAAGTACATATGTTGACTTGACGATCATAACATTATCAAGATGTCTTACAATTCATTTGTTAGATAAAGTTCTATTGCACAACATGTAAAAACACCTCCCCTGTCTACAATACAGGAAAATAATTTATTGACAACATCAGTATAGTACAACACGAAAATAATAAAAAAAACTTCAAATTCTTGAGACCGTCTATATCAAAATCAACTAAACAGCACTCAACAAAATTTATTACGAATATAGCAACAGCATATTAAAGTTTCATAGAACATTTATATATAAATACCATTTATATCTCTACAAATTCCAGGTCAGCTCTTTTCTACTGAAACACTTGTTTCGTAAAAAACTCTATAACTACAACGGATAAATTTAAAAATTCTAAAATGATTATAACAGAGCGCGTTCGGGTGTGTTTTTAAAAATCAGCAACGGAATGCAGATTTTATCGCAGTTAAAACATGTTTGCATTTTGTAATTTTACTTTATGAAGAAAAGCTTAGAAAAACTTGGGTTAAAAAACATAAAAAAAAAAAAAAAAAAAACCCGAGGGCACCTTTCTTGATGAATTTCATCTTAACATCCAGAAACAGATTAGACAACTGGAAACGATACGTATAAAAATAAGTGGATACAATATATCTATATTATTCAATAAAACATGTTTGAATGAAGACATGAATCATAAATACACACACATATACATATATATTATCTATCTATCTATCTATCTATCTAAATATCTATCTATCTATTATCTATCTATCTATCTATCTATATATATATATATATATATCTATATATATATATATATATATATATATATATATAATTTTTTTAAAAAATTATAACATAAGTATGTTATAAAATCACTAAAAAAATAAATATTTTGTTTCAACACACTCTGTGTCTTATCAAGTGATGATGTTGAAAATAAAATAAATGGTTTTAAAAGTTTCAGATTAATTAACGATCCTTACATTAGGGGAAACATTGTTACAAAAGCTAGAATAACCAATCAAAAACGAAGTATAGAAAGATTCAAAAAGCTTGACAACGAAATCCTGCTATAATAGCTATTCAGAACTTTAAATACGTGTAATATTAAAAATAATTTATACTAACTAATAATTATAAAATTATATGATAAAATTTAATATTAAAATTAAAAACTGGCAATTTTAAAATCCAAATTTAATCACTATTATAAAAAATAATTATATCTGCTCTACTTTGTATTGAGCACTCTTTTAAGAATAGTAAATGTTGGTTATTGGAATTCATTCCGTATATACCAATTATATACTTTGATATAAATATATATATATATATATATATATATATATATGGATTTTATTAGAAAACAAACAACCTGAAGGGTCCATTGATTATATTTTATTTCCCCAGGAAAAAAAACACCATCCTGGGGAAATAAAGTATGATAAATGAAACCCTTAATGTTGTTTGTTTTCTAATTAAATTAATATTTGCTCTGGTTTGACATTGAGCTCTCTGGATTACATCCTTAGTATTATCCATACGGATTAGCAAAAAACAGACATTAAATTTATATATATATATATATATATATATATATATATATATATTATTCCCGTTGAAAAAAAATGAAAAACACCTGCAGGCAGCTCGATCTGACGTGTACAGATATTTTGGTAGAGTGTGCTTGTCGATGGCTGATCTAAGGAGTCATTTGAGATAAATATATATATAATTATAATTATAAAGCCGTAGACGCCCAGCCACTGAAATGTGATATTTGCAGTAAGACATCCGATTGCAGAAGCGGTTTCATGCAACATCTTAAATTGCACGATAATGTAACACTCACTGTTGCACCTCTTAAGTTACCTGTTTGTACCGGAGTATATAGGTCCCTTGCTGGCCTAAAGAGCAACATACGTTAAGGACATCTGTAGATATTCCCCCAA